TTGCAACTTGTTTTGTCTCTCCCTCTCCTTTATGCATCTCTCTTCCATTCTTTTCTTGGCTCTTCCCCTTAAAATTGTGTTCCTTTCATCGCTCCTCTCTCCTTCTCTTTCTCCTGTTCCCCTTTATATGACAAAAACACAAGAAAGGAAGAACAAGAGGGGAATGGAGGCCCTTTTCCTGTCTTCTCCTGTTGCAATGACTAAAGAAAAAAGCATAGGAGATAAGGAAGGGAATTGAAGAGTAAATGGGCGATGGAACGGGTGTTCCTTTTGATAGTTTTCTGCATCTTCAAGGGAGAAAAAAAGGACATCCCCCAAGAAGGAAAAGTAACGCGCAATTGAAGAGCCCCTCTCTTTACCTAGTCATTCCCTGTCCTCTCTTCTTATCTGTTGTTTTTCTTATTCGCTTCAAAAAGCAAAATTTGGGAAAGGCGATTTCCTGAAGTGGAAGAAGGGCACTTATCTATCTGCGAAGAGCAAGATTGGTTTTTTTCTAATTAGGGAGAGACTTGCCCCGCCTGAGCCTCCCTGGCCTGCTTGTTGTGGCCACATTCCGCTACAGTTGCCCCGCCTGAGCCTCCCTGGCCTGCTTGTTGTGGCCACATTCCGGTACAGTTGCGCTTCCAGAAAAATGCCGTCCAAGTCATCTCTCCTCTCTCACTTCCCTTTCCCTTTTCTCCTTCTGTTTCCTTTCAACTGATACAGCGCAAGAAAGGAACTTGTATGATAAGGCAGTGGAAGGGTAAGCAGAGGGTGACTCCTGGCGCGTGGACCTTGCCATACTTCATCATACCCCTCCTATCGGCCTATCCTTTCCGTTCCTTTCCGTCCCCTTCTCCTTCTCATAGTTCTTCCTTTTTGTTTTCTTATTTCGAAAAGAAAGAGGGCAGGGAGAGATAAGGGGGAGAGGATAGATAAAGAAGAGTGCCATCTTCTCTGCGCCTTATTTTGTCTCTCCCTCTCCTTTATTCATCTCTCTTCTATTCTTTTCTTTGCTCTTCCCAGTACAAATGCAATCCTTGTTGTCTCTCCTCTCTTCTTCTCTCTCCCTTCTCTTCTCCTGTTCCCCTTGATATGACAAAAACACAAGAAAGGAAGAACAAGAGGGGAATGGAGGCCCTGTTCCTTTCTTTTCCTGTTTCAATGGATGGGGAAACTGAGCGGGGTTGGCTCCTTGTCCGTAGACCCTCCCCATGCTTCAGCAAATCCCTCCTCTCGCCCTATCGCCTCTGTTCTTTCCTTGTTCCCAAATGGAAAAAGAAAACGGGTTCCTTTGCATGTTCATTGTTCTTCCTTTTGTTTTCTATTTGACAGGGAAAAGAACAAGAGAAGAAAGATGAAAACGAGCACCATCTTCTCTTAGCCTGATTTTGCACCTCCCTCTCCTGTCTTCATTTCTCTTCCATTCTTTTCATTGCTCTTCCCATTAAAATTGCATTCCTTTTGATCTCTCCTCTCTCCTTTCTCTCTCCCTTCCCGTCTCCTGTTCTCTTTGAATTTCAAAAACACACAAAAGGAAGCTTCTTTTCCTTATTGAATGAAAAAGAAAAAGAAGAAAAGAGATAGGGAAAGACACTGAAGAGCTCCACTGCCTATTGTTTCATTCCCTTTCCTCTCTTTCTATGTGTTGTTTTCCTTGTCGTTTCAGAAAGCAAGCAAAATACGGGCAAGGGGGCTTCCTGAAGAGGAGAGAGATCTGCGAAGACCAAAAAAAGTCTTGTCTTTTGAATTATAGAGGGAAACGGGAGAGGCAAGGAAGGGAGAGATGATAGATAAAGAAGAGTGCCATCCGTCTCCTTGTTTCTTGTCTTTTCTTTTCTTTTCAATACCCTTCCAGAAAATTAAAATGGCCTCCTTGTTGTCTCTCCTCTCTCACTTCTCTTTCCCTTCTGCCGCAGCCAAACAGCGACTTTTTCACGCAGGCTGAAAAAAGAACACGCATACACAGACAGCAAAGAGAAACAAATGAAAATAAGAATAACCAGAAATTCGCAGTTCGTAATGGCGTGCGGCTAGGCCTAGAACCGCTGGGCATGAGATTTGCGTGCCATATGTAGGTGTAAATATGTATTTTTGTATTACGATGTTTATATTCGCTCTTTTAAAGCAATAAGAAAAACCCAAAGCTAAATAGACCCTAAAGGCGGCGGGCTCATATATATATATATATACATATATTTTTTTTATTAAGGTTCTAAGGGGAGTAGAGGTTTTGAAGCAGCTGCTGCCCGAAAGCCCCACGACTGTGGCGATGCAAAAAGAGCCGCCATCCTTCATGCATCCGAGATCGCTGGCAGCTTTCCAGCGGCTCAGGCCATCCCGGAAACCCTAAACCCTATTTCGGGTTTAGGGTTTAGGGTTTAGGGTTTTGGGGCTTTGGGGTTTAGGTTAGGGTTTAGGGTTTAGGGTTTAGGGTTTAGGGTTTAGGGTTTAGGGTTTAGGGTTTAGGGTTTAGGGTTTAGGGTTTAGGGTTTAGGGTTTAGGGTTTAGGGTTTAGGGTTAGGGTTTAGGGTTTAGGGTTTAGGGTTTGGGTTTTGGGTTTAGGGTTTAGGGTTTAGGGTTTAGGGTTTAGGGTTTAGGGTTTAGGGTTTAGGGTTTAGGGTTTAGGAACCCTAGACCCTAAACCCTAAACCCTAAACCCTAAACCCTAAACCCTAAACCCTAAACCCTAAACCCTAAACCCTAGACCCTAAACCCTAAACCCTAAACCCTAAACCCTAAACCCTAAACCCTTCAGGCTGCAAGGAAGTGAGAGGCGACCCGGAGCCGAGTTCAATCCTATAGCTCCGGCATGGAGCGAGACCAGGCCAAAAGTCTGCACGGAGCGCCCTGATCTTGTTCATCTCTTACTCTTTCCGGGTTTAGGGTTTAGGGTTTAGGGTTTAGGGTTCAGGGTTCAGGGTTTAGGGTTTAGGGTTTAGGATGATACATATTATTATATGCTTACATACGTAGTGCCTTTCGCAAGCAGACGGCAGACATGCTGAAGATAGAGCCAAAGGTTTGGGAGCCAACAGATGACTCTGCTTTTAATATGGGTTGGTGGTATCTTTAAGTAGGGTTTCTGTTGTATGGGATATATATATATACATATATATGTATATACATATATATATATACATATATATATACATATATATATATATACATATATATATATATACGTATATATATATATATATTCGGGGTTCTTATTGGGGTATCTTGGGGCTGTAGTAAGGTGTAAGGGCAACAGATAAAGAAGCCACCAGCCGTTATAACGCCGTTTTGTTGAACTCTTTGGACATCGGAGCTTCAAGGATTGTGCTCGCCCCAAACAGCGACGCGGCCTGGGGAATCTTGCGGAGGAAGCTTGGTGAGGCGAGACGGCTGCAGCCGGCTCCTTCGCTGCACGGACTCCGAGAGCTGCCCTTCATCCTGCAGTTTTCCTCCGCGGGCGCCATCTGCAACCTCATGCTCATGCTCCTGGGCGCTTTGCTGGGGGACGGATTCCTGCGCGGCCTGCATCCCACGCCTTGTGGCACTGAGAGTCTTCTCCAGAACTGGATACTTTGGACCGTACCATTATCATGCTAGGGTTTAGGGTTTAGGCTTTAGGCTTTAGGCTTTAGGCTTAGGCTTTAGGCTTTAGGCTTTGCACTTATGCCCTTCGGTCGCAAGAGCGCCGTGTTGAGTGCTCTGTTGGCGGGGACATGGGTACATCCCACTCCCTTGGGGTTTCGAAGCTTCTCCAGGACTGGATGCATATTAAGGTGTTTCGACATCCTAAGCACCTGCCTGCTCTTCGCATCTCTGCGGAGGACCCTTGCATCATTCGAAACATGGCATGGTTGCAAACAGACGACAACGAATCAAACTCACACGACTTCTGCGCACATTTGAAGAGCTGGGATCCTCTGAGTGAGATTGTTTTGTTGCCCTGCATTGCGCATGATTGAATCAAGCGCGATAGCGAGCTCGCACAACAACAGAGTTTGGCACTCCCACAAGCAAATACTGTACCGAATGCAGCTACGGCTACAGCTTCTCCAACGTGTAAATATCACCGTTGGACTAAAGCTCGAAGCCTAAATCCCTAAAATTCTCGAGGCATCGCCGTAGCTGGGTGTGCCAGCCCTCATGTTGTCTGCTCGCTGTTTGTTGCACATGCCTGTTGGGCATATGCATATACGAACGCGTGCATGTGAAGCGCCAAGGGAACCCAGTACCACCGGTACATACATACATATATGCATACCGGGACCTACCTACCTTCCCCTAATTGCATACATACATACCTGCAGACATAACACACATCAACGATACACCGATACATACCGCTACCTACCGACCTACCTACATACTTACCTACCTACATACATACATACAACTATGCATACATAAAGCACATAAAATATACATGCATCGACACATGCATAGATACAGCGCTTAATGCACCTATCGTCTCGAGGAACTGCAGGCACACCCCTAAACCCTGAACCCCAAAACCCTAAACCCTCAGCCCTAAGCCCTTAGCCCTAAAACCCTAAACCCTAGAGCACGAGACTTTGGGACTCTCAACCTGACACCCCAATCCTACACCCTAAAACCTGAAAAGCCCTCTAGGGTTTAGGGTGTAGGGTGTAGGGTGTAGGGTTTAGGCTCTAGGGTTTAGGCTGTAGGGTTTAGGGCTTAGGGCTTAGGGTTTAGTCACGGTTCAGGGATTCAGGTTAGGTGTACTCGAGCCTTAATGATGTCGGCGAGGGTTCCTTAAGGGGACCGCTTAAGGTTTCCATGCGAATGTGCTACTCTTAGTACTTGAACTCGGGTTTCTAGGAATTCGCAATTTGATGCTACAAAGGACTACTGCTTCTAACAGGATTTTGAAGACTCTGGGATCCTGTACATGATCACCCTAAACGACCTAAACCCCGTAAACCCTAAACCCTAAACCCCAAACCCCAAACCTTCTTGGTCTTGCTATGAGCTGCGTGCAGTCGAAGGCTAGCCTTCTTGCCCAGGCAGCAGGCAGCGTGGCCGAGGCCAAGCCGGAGTGACGTGCCAAGACGTGATGTGTTCATACGGGTTTAGGGTTTAGGGTTTAGGGTTTAGGGTTTAGGGTTTAGGGTTTAGGGTTTAGGGTTTAGGGTTTAGGGTTTAGGGTTTAGGACGATTTACGGCCGCCTACTTGGAGGTTCATGGGTACTTATAACCCCTATGATAAGTCTACTTATAGCCTACTTTAGAGGACTTAGAGGGCTTGTAAGTACAGAAATATTTCAGGGTTATAAGTACCCTGAACCTCCAAGTAGTTAGGGTTTATACACTAGTACAGTAGTTTAGTACAGCAAAACGGTTTGGAGGTACATGTCGGGGTTTGGGGTTTAGGGTTTAGGGTTTAGGGTTTAGGGTTTAGGGTTTAGGGTTTAGGGTTTAGGGTTTAGGGTTTAGGGTTTAGGGTTTAGGGTTTGCTGCAAATTTGAAGTTTGTGCGGACATTGTGCAACACCTTGCGAAGCATCAGCACTTACAGCCCCATTGGGCACCATTTGTTGTTTCGGGACAAAGCCACAATACCAAACACAGATTTTCAGAAACTGTCACAAAATCCCTTCGTTACAGTCAACATTCTTCTTGAAGTGAACAAGCTCGTGTGGCAGGTGCCAGAACAGCAACTGCGCAACAAGTCTGTTTCCATCCTTGAACCTTGAGGACCTTTGTTGGATGGAAGTGGTTGCAGATGTTCGCACATCTAAAGTTAGTGCGAGCAAGAACTTCTTTAGACTTGCGCCGTTAACAACAAAAATGGAGGAACGCCAGCAGCTACTTGTACAAGCCTTGAAGACTTTCAGTTTGTCCGCAGAGCTGCCGTGGCTGTTAGACAGCAGCTCGAAGCTATTGATGATCTAGCCCTTTGAGAACAACACTAAAAGGTTGCTGGCTTCGCATCCGCCTCATGTCAGAATTTGCTCGTGCCTGCTTGAAGGTTTCACCTTCTCAATTGCCAACTTGAAAGGGATGAAGCTACGGGTCTAGGCAAAATGACTTGGCAGATGTGCGTGGTCGTTGTTGTCCTCGATGTCGTCGTGGTCGTCGTCGCCGGAGTTGTTGTCATCCCTTTCTTGTGTCGGTGCTGTTGTCATATTGTGGTTGTAGCAGTTTTGCCAGCACAACATCGGAGGGGTCCAACTTCAGATGGATGTTGGTTGCAGAGCGTATTGCTGACTGGAAAACTGCTGCCACGCATCACATCTGAAGTTGTTGCATGAGGCGCCTTTGCAACAGGAGGCCAAAGTACATGTTCTGCGGGGGCTTGCCGCCGGGGCCCTGGTTGCGTCCGGGCTTGTGCAAGCTCAACATGGATGTTTAGCCCGCACGCGGGCATCAACAAGCATAATGTGAATTCTGTGCGAGGTCCCAACATTCGAAGTTTTCGGCTCTTTTCACTTGCGCTTTAGATAGCTTGCAGTTTGCTACAGGCCATGCCGTGCCGTGCACTGTTGAGTGCCAGTATGCTTTGGCTGTGCCAGGCCGCGTCGATGCGGCTGCACACTTACACTTTTGAGGCGTACCCGGCCACAACGGCATCGTTCGAGGCAACGTCCTCCCCCGTGATGCTGGTTGAACGCGGTGGCCCAAAAGTAGCGGACTGCGATAATCCTATGGATTTCAACGGTGTAAATGCATCCCTTGTCGCGCTTGTGAACATGGATATCCAGGGCTGCTGGACGACGCGTGATGAAAGATACTTCCACGGCGACTACCCAATTACCCTGGGAGTCGTGCGGATTGGCAACGAGAGCTTTGATGCTTTTGAGATACAGCCACCGCAGTCATTAGCTTCGGCATTTGCTGGAAGCCATCAAGAGATGTATGTGCTGGTGCCAGGCGAAGACGGTCCAATCAATGTGTTTTTGTACATGTAGAAATCTCTCAATCAGTTGTCATGAGATGCGGACGTGGCATTGTCATGGAATGCAGAAATCATGAAACATGAAATCGAAACATATCACAAGCTGCAACACTTCGATTCCCTCAGGTGATGCCTCGCAGCACAAGCTCTACCGCTTGGAAGAGGGTCTGCTCATCCCGCAGATCTCAGTGCAGGCTGGCGACACGGAAGGTTTTGTCCCAACAGGAAAGAAGGTTCACGGTCTTGCCGCAGCTGAAGTTTGGGTTGTGCTGCCAGCAAACAAGCCGCCGCCGGCGCATACTTGGAGGATGATGTCGGGGCAAAGCGTCACCGAGTGCGACGTCGGATCCGAAGGGGATGCGCCGGAACGCGGCACATTTGGTGACATCGCCCTCGTCACCATGATTGGGCAAAGTAACACTTGCTGGAACTGGGACGACTACACGAACAGCGACTTCGTGCTAGAGCGCGGGCAGGTGATCGGCTCTGATGGCCTGGTTTTCGATGCTTTCCGTGTCTCGCCGCCCAACAAGACGGCCGACGCTTTTGTTGCAAGCCGCATCAACCTTTAAGGAGCCATCATATAAGAGGATTGTCGAGTCATATAAAACGATTGTCAAAAAACTCATTTCCAAAAGCATTTTTATTGCGCGGGCCCCCTTAAAAGGGCTGTTGGCCAGCTTGCTGGCCGGCAGCTTAAGTAACTCACTTGACAAAAGTAGGTAGAAGCTTAACCTGTCTGTGCAGCCTGAGCCCTGAGGGGAGGTATGAGCCACTGAGCCACAGCAGCATCATTGCAGAATGAGCTGCAGCATGTCTGAGCCTCTCGAACCAGTGATTTGCTAATTTCAGAACCAGCGAAATCAGTCTTCTATGTGTATCCCAGCCACTCAACCTAATTTTAATGCTTTTCAGAGAGCGCTAGCAACACTAATTAAATTATCTTGTCCCGCTGTGTGTTTTGATGGACACCCCGGCGTCATTGCCTCGGGATGTCAGCAGCGGGAGCGATCCTGGTGACGTGTCCCTGCCTGATGATGTGACGAGCAACGCAGGGGATTCTCCGGGTCTGCTTGATGAGAATGTCGAGCTGCCTCCTGAAGAGGGAAGTTTGCAGACCAAGTGTCGCTGCAAGCGTGGTTGTGTTGCGTTGCTGCCACCAGGTGTGCTGGAACAGCAGCGCTTTCGAATGGAAGGCCTTGATCGAGTTCGGCGACATGCTCAGGTCTTTGCATCTCTGAGAGATGACGCCAGCCGAGGTCTGTGGCAGTATGTAAACACGGTGACTCCTCAGACTGTTGATGCCTTTCGCAAAAGCATCCTGGCTGGAGAGGTGACTGCACCAGTGCGAGGCCCATGTTTGCGAGTCAAAGACAAGCAGCAGCTTTGGCGAGTTGATGCCTGGTTTCTGGAGCTGTACACATCTTTGGGAGAGCCCAAGCCAACTGAATCCCCTGGTGACCATCAGACTGACACAGAGCATGAAGTTGTTCATTCCGATCACCCTCTCTGGGCTTTGAGTGTTGCGTCGGGGCCAGACTGCCGTGTTGTCGCCAAGAGGAACCTGAACCCTCAAACTTTGAGAGCCCTCTACGCCTTCTACACACAGGACGCTGGCAACGAGGAGTTGGTAAGTGAGAGCACCTTCAGTCGCTGTTGGCGTGAACGCTGGAAGAAATTTCTGGAAATGAAGAATGAAGGCACAGGGCAGCGATGCAAAGTCTGTGCCAAATTTGATGAAGCGATGAACCAGGCAAGCTGCAAGGATGAGTTTCTCGACCTTTCCAAGCAGAAAGCAGTGCATGTGCGTCAATCGATGGCTGACAGAAATGTCAATGTGCGGGGCAATGTTTTGGCCACCAGAGCAGCGCAGCAAGCACGTGCCACTGGTATGCCCTCGACAACTTCCTTTATGAAAATGCAGATCGACGGGATGGATCAAGCCAAATTCCGTTGTCCAAGACCTCAGGGGACCTTGAAAGGTTCGGCCTATGAGCTGTGGAGACCACAGCTGCACCTCACAGGCTGCACATGCTTCGGACATTTTGATGCATTTTTCTTGCTTGGGCACGATCAACCCAAGGATAGTAACATGCAATCCACAGTCCTTGCCCGGGCACTGGACCTGCTTACTGCCCGTGTGGGACTGCAAGGGTTTCCGAGGGCCCTGATACTTTCTGTTGACAATACGCCGAGAGAAAGCAAGAACACCTTTTTTGCGCAGTTTGCAGCAGCGTTGCTGCTTTTGCGCTGCTTCGATTCAGTAGAAGTTCAATATTTACAAGCTGGCCACACAAAGAATGAACTGGACCAGAGGTTTTCATCTGTTGCCCGAGTTCTAAATGACGCCGGTGCTTTGGAGGATAATGAGGAGTTTTTGCAGTACATGCAAACACATGTCAGGCCGTTTGAAGGAAGAGAGGTCATTTGTGAGAAGATGTCTGGCACACGGGACTTCCAGGCATGGTTTGAGATTGCCAATATGCATGTGCAGGGCCTGACATCGACAAAGGGGCTACCAGAAGCAAACCATTTGTGGCGGTTTGTGAGACGTGAAGATCACCCGTTGCCAGATGAGATTGAGTGCCATCATCCAGACTGGCAGTCTTTGCCCTCAAACCCTGATGATGTTATTCTTTGTTTGAAGCAGTTCATTTCCAGCCCTGGCCAGTCGCAACCCCCGCAGCTTTTCATGCCAGCCAGTGCTGCAGAGCAGCTCACGAAACAAACTTTGCAGCCAGCACTCCGGAGGCCTTTGAGTGATGAACAGGTGAAAGAGTTCCAAAAAACTGCGACGTTCGTGGGCAAGCATCCTTGGAATTTGTTTAAAGGCGAAGCCTTCCTGAGGAAGCTTTGTGCTGAAAACCAAGCAGGCATCAGCGGGACCCCCCCCGTTTTGCAAGCACTGTTTCAGTCTCGTTGCGCGGTTGATCAAGAAACTGCCCCAATTGTGGCCCAACCCTGTGCACGAGCAGCAGCTCCGCGGCCAGTTCGTGTGAGGAGGGTCTTGAAGCGGCCCGCTGCTGCAAAAGCTGCCGCTCCGCGTGCCAAAGCCAAGGTGCGGCTGAGGCCTGCTGCACAGCTGGATGCGCAGTGAAATGAAGTGCATGCTGATCTGCTTTGGGTGTCCTTGCCATGCTGGGCAATCAACACTGCCAAACTGCCACGTTGAGACATGATATGTCATGCCTGTTTTGGGTTCTAACCAGCTGCCAGACTGTATTTTCTCATTTACCGTAGGTGCATCAAGCACAATGCTTGCTGGAGTCTCTCTGACAACAGCTAGACGATGTCTACGTTTGCTCCTTGTCTTTGCGGCCTGGCGCAACCATGTGGCCTTGGATCTCCCACGAGACATGCCGGCAGTCTTCCTGCTGGTACTGACAGATGTTAAGTGGTTCTCCGACAAAGTCACCCAGTATCTGTGTCTCCGAGATTCGCTGGCCCTGCTTCATGTCAGCAAAAGGATGCACCTTTCCAACCGAGACTCCTACTGAGAAGCTGACGGCTGCATTGTCTCGTCGCTCTATAGAAACAGAAACACTGACAGCCAGCTTGCTGGCAGCCAGATCTAAGACAGTTTTTTTGCGTGCCTGCAGGGCAGTTGGTATTGCATGCGAAGCTGTGTGTTGTTGTGAGTGCAGTTTGCAGCTGACAGAAGTTACTTGCAGTCTGTGTGGTTGCATTCCCTGAGGCAGTGTTCAGCGTTTTGCTCCTGGATTTCTTCTTGTTTCACCCTTGCCCAGCTCTCTGCCCATGGCGTGCTCCCAAGAGTCCCACGCACATCGTGAGGAAGACGAACTCTCCTTGCCAGATGATGTTGGTTCAGAAGCAGAAACCCAGGCAGATGTTCTCCAGGGGTTCTTTGCAAATGTTTGTTCAAATGTTTGCCCTAGGCCCTAAACCTGTACAGCCTACAGTTTTGTGGTGTTAGGCTTTAGGGCTTAGGGTTTAGGGATTTTCATTTGTGGTGAATATATTCAGATCCCATGCCCAGGTGTTGCCTGCTGCTGCGGTAGCCACGGGGCAAACAGGCTTCACAACTCCACAGCAAGAGCCGCTGCTTGACTCGGACGGTGAGGTGATCGGTTCGCCCAAGGCTGCCAGTCCGCTTCGTGAGGGCTCACAGCCTTTGAAAAGGCTGTGCGCCAGCTCCCACTTGGGTTCGCCTCGACCGCCTCTCGCCGAGAAGAAGAAGGCAAAGGCTAAGGCTAAGGCGCCGAAGAAGGTTCCCGCAAGCAGCGTCAAAGCCAAGAAGCGTCCTGCCGCAGCGAAAGGCCCGAAAGGCCCCAACACTGGACCCTCCGACCCTGAGAAGCCTCTCTCGAAGGCTCGCGTGGTCTCTGCCAGTGTGCCAAAGCGGTCCTACGTGCAGGCAAAGTCCAGCCCAGGCGGCCGCTTCCGC